ACACACACACACATAAGATCTTGAGTATTATTTGATAGTAAAATCAAGAAATTCAGTTGCTGCGCTTTTTAAGCGATTTTTCCGCATCCGACTTCATCCGAATTTAAGCTTGTTAACTATTCAATAAAGAATATAGAGCGACTAAAATTTGACTGATTGACCAATGCAAATGACCGCCTTTCTCTGTTCAAAATAACAGTACCTTCAATTTAGGCTCCGTGGCTTGAAACAATGAGTGTTATTAACGCAAATGGTTGAGAGTTTTTTCTTACTCGAAATGTACAAGAAGAATATTATCCGATTGGTCAACATCCTAGATTCGAGTCTTGGCAAGACAGGTCGCACTCACTCGGAGGTATGGACACTCAGTTGATAGGTCCTAGATAAGGTGAAACGCATATGTTAGATTCCAAAGAAAGCCACTGTCTATAATTTCTAACACACAGGGAAAGAAATTCTTCTGTTTCCATGGTAACATTTTGTAAAGCTGTACAAACGTGTTTACGCATATCATAATCATACAATAGCCAATTATTGAACAAAGTGTATAGTCGCATTATTAGGCCAGCTAGCGGTTCGACTGAAATCCAGATTAGGAAGTTGTGGCCTAATAATTTTTTCGACAATAGAAGTGATCATTTGTATTATGAATTGTCCCTTGGGTTCCTAGTGGAAAAGAGGACTTCAGTAGCACATAGCCATTTCATTCTCTTCGCTCCACTCTCTGCGACCGGGCTCCACAACTACACATAAGCTTTCATTTCTTCTTCAAACGATCTCCTCCATGTCACCTTCTGACACCAAACTCTTTGTTTTCCACTTGGGTTCCACTCGACAGCCTGGACTGGCTCGACGCGTGATGTCTCCGAATGGTTTTCTCAGTGTATGTGCAATCCAATCCATCTCCACTTTCTTCTGGATAGCTGTTGGACGATAGGTTCTTGCTTCGTTGGTTCGTTTCCAGGTGAAAGTTGCTTTTTGCTGATTATTCTAGCGATTTAATCTTGAATATCGAGCATAGGCGGCAGCTGTTCATGAATGCTTGTAGTTTGCTGGTAATGTTTTTCATGACACGCTAAGTTTCGCAACCGTCACACAGAAGCACTGAATTGACTGAATTACTGTTGAAAATCCGCATCTTGTTCATGCTTTATGCTCATTACAGTGCAGTGCAGTAGATCTCCACACTGATTTCAGATCAATGAAGGAAAGCCTGTCTTGCATTTCCGATACTGGCTGGCTTTCACATCCTCATCTGTGACACGCCTGTAGTAGAGACGATGCTGCCTGGGTGGGTGGGTAGGTGAAAGATACTACTTCACTCAGGCTTCTCCCGTTGATGGTAATTGGTGCTTGTTGTTGGTGGTGTTGGTTGAGTGTCTTCATCACCTCTGTCTTCTCTACATTCACTTGAAGTCCCGTCTTCGCTGCCCTACCTCTTCTGTCAACTTGTTAGTTTTTGTCTGTAGGTTTTCGAAGGGAGACGTGAGACGTAAATCATCATTGGCGAAATTCAAATCTTCTAGGGACTTTTCATCAGTCAAACAGTGGGTGTATGACCATCTTCTCACAGTTCCTCACTGTTTGTTGCATTCTCCAGTCGACCACAATCAGTAAGATCATCGGTGATTGTAGGTGTAAACCTTGTCTTACTCCTGTGAACCTGTCTTCATTTCATTTGAACGACACCGTTGAGCTTTCCATTGTGAATCACTTGGCATATAGCTGTTGAATGAGGTAGATAAAGATTTGTGGCCCTGAAACCGTAGTATCGATGCAGTTGTCAAATTACTTGTCAGTTGACGCTGTTGAAGGTCTTTTCAAAATCGATAAAGTTTAGGTAGAGATCCAGTTGACTACCGTTTCACGCTCTGTTCTATGATGACGCGTAGTGTAGTGTTGCATTTTGATCCGCAAATGAATTGTTTTTTCCGAAGCCAGCCAGCCTGTTGCGGCGGTAATGTTGAATCCAGCTCATCTTTTAGTCTCCTCAGGATGACGCGGCTTAATCTTTTGTTTGATGTGAACTGGAGCATGAATCTGCGCCATTTCTTGGAAAGACTTATGTCTCCGTTGTTTGGGAGTTTGACAAGTTAGCCCTTTTTCGAATTGGAAAGTGCTATGGTTAAGTGCTATCAATTATTGATTGAAGCACATTATTCCCCAAATTTGCGATAACCAATCAGCCAGAAACGGCTTAAATAGTGACCATATACCAACCTCAACCTTTTGTTTGTATAGTTCATTGTTAATTTTAAATCGCACATTGAAAGTACATCTTAAAAGTAATTGTTTTGAATCACACATTAAAATATCCTTGTGAAAGTTATGCTCTTCATTAGAATCACATAGAAAGCAGATAGTTTCTGTGAGAGGGACGTTAGAAAAAACGGAAACCATATCAAGAACTATCATTCGTTTACCGGATACTTTGAGATTATCAATTAAATCAGCAAAGTGGAAATAACCCAACAGTTTGTGCATATTTAATTGTTTTCTGATTGGTTGAAGGATGTCCAACATCACTTATATGGTATGGTGTATTGTTCATACCCAAAAATGGACGTAGAGGGAAATCTTCTTTGTGTATATTCAGGAGACTATGCAAATGAGGAGTTACAGAGCTGGATAGTCATAATTGCTCAGACACAATTATATTTTCTTATCCATTGGACTTTTTAGTCTGTGTTATTGTATATCTTGTTGGCACATATGCCTTAATATTGCCACTGATTTTATCTTATTCCTGGCTGACACTGCGACCAAGACTGCACACGATCATTTTATGAGTTATTCGTCCCTAATCTACAAGCGGAAATAATAATTCATTCCGGTTATAATGGTTACCTATTCAACGAGAGGTCACTGTGTCAACTTACTTGACTGATGAACAGTGCCATGAGATTTTTCTCCCAACCTATGATGATGGAGTTTTCTTTGTGACTTACTGTAGGTTAAATGAGAAGCAGTTCCGTCAAAAATCTGTAATCAACACTACTTTGGCATTTGGGACAGTATGTGACAGGGTTTGAATCTCCGTTGGACTGAAAAGACTCTGAAATTCAAGAATGCTCTGCTGCTCACTACTAGCTGATGTGTTAATGATGGATAGTGGCAAGCAGTATTATCAAGGACATCCGTTTCTTTTTATTTGTAACTCGTCAGCTCCCAGTGGGCGATGTTATTCACACTGGATTTAAAAATAAGACAGTTCGCTTAAGACACTGATGGATCATGATTATCAAAACTGGAAATACAGACAATATCTAGGCATCCATGCAGGAACTCATATGCCAATAGAAACCGATTAATTTGGTTCAATCAACAATGGGATAATTTGATGTGACTCCAATTTTTATCACTGTGCTTGGATGGCAACAGGATTTGAAGGTTATGTGAGAAAATATAATAATTTCAGGAAATAAAAGAGGTGAAGCATTTTAATTCATGAAAAAGTTGTACATTTTTCTTCTAGAATACTCTTCGAATCCCTCAGTTTATGCCAACGTGCATTTTCTTCCACTATACCCGCCCTACCTAGTTAATTTTTCTCACAACTCTATTCTTTTCCATCTGATCATGGTTTAGACTATCGGTTTCACGTACTGTGTCCCCACCTAATTCAGCGGTATCCCACAATCTTCTAATTGCTTCTTCACCTTAAACAAATCTTAATTAACTTTATTTGGTAAATGATGAGAATCCCAATCTAACCATGATCTTATCGAATAGGTTCTTTACAACAAGTGGTTTCGGAAACTTCTGTTACCTCTCTTTTGTCTTGTGAATCCATCTTGATGTGTATATGTGTTCTTCAATCCAAAAAGATTCGAATTTATGTCATTTCATGTGTAATGCTGATTGTTCCCTACATCTAATAATGTATCGCAACTTCAAATAGTTTGGCAATCCCTTTGAAGTCATACAACAAACTGAACCATCACCACTCTTGAATGGCTTCTAAAACCTTCTCAACACTTTGGCCTGTTTATTCTGCAGGTTAATTGCTGGACCACAGGTCAACAGATTATGTCACAGATTTGCCAACGAGTCTCACTATCAACCTTGGATAATCATTCACTAAAATGAATTAGCTGAGCTTTTACAAGTTCTCCGAAGGCAGTAATGCTGATTACAGTACATTTTATTCTTTATTCGTATCCATCATGATCATTAGGAAGATTTGTTAATTTCCTTACGCTCAGAAAGCAAATCACCTTTCAGAATTCTACCTTTTCTCGGCAACAACTGAAAGTATTGAGATCAAATTATGCTACATCATATGAACTACCTTTCTAGATCTTCCTGGTAGTGACCAACTAGTGGAAAGTGACCTACATCTCATAGCGGTTTATCTCTCTTTCTTCTTGATATTAACCATGTGGCTTGCACACTCACCTCCTGTGTTAGTAAAATAGGGTACTCATGAAATAACTATAGTACCTCGATATTTGTACCCGATTACTTAGTGTGTAGTTAATCACATTGTTCTGGTTAACAATAGTTCAGCAAAAAAGTAGGCGAACAATGAATTTGGTGGAAACCAACTTGAATATCAGTCATCTAGAGATGAAATGCGATAAATGAAATACTGAACAGTCACTTTACTCCCCTTGAATATAGTTCATAAGCATTGCACCATAAATAATCCAAGTTCCTTACTTAAATCTTTTGATTTAAAGGGACACCAACCTCAGTGAACTAGTGACATTTGGAATCAAGATATTCTTATCTTCATTGATGGTATGAAGTAAAATAAATTTCTCAATATAAACGACTCGGTTAATTAGAAAAAGTCATAATGGAATTTTGTATATAGGTCACATGTAAACTGAATGATCAGTTTAATTAAAAAAACTTTCAAATTTGACAACCCATGTTGACAACTCTGTGCCTCCATCTCACTATCTTTCTAATCTCACTACCAAAATTTGTAGATTACCAAAAGTGATTGTTTGAAAAAACTGGTGTTATGCATGCCACAATGCCACACCTATTTA